GCCATTGTAGGGTTATTAACTGGCCTAATTTCAATATTGTTGTGTCTCAAGGAACAGGAAGGCCTAAGGAGAGGAAGAGAGATGGGGGAGTGGCTGGTTGGTGATCAGAACACACATGTATCTATTAAGTTTGCATTTTATATGGCACGCTTTTGCAGTGCCCCCCAAATGACTACAATAGTGACAACAAAGATCACTCATCACCACAGAAGACATAATGATAATGAAAAAGTTTGAAATATTGCAAGAACTACCAAAATGTGACAAAGGGACGTAAAGTAAGCCCATGCTGTTGGAAAATGATGCCAGTAGACCTGCTCGATGCAGGGTTGCCACAAACCTTCTATTTGTAAAAAATGCAATATTTGCAAAGTGCAAGAAAGCAAAGCACAATAAAATGAGGCATGCCTGTATCGTTACAATTTTAATCCAACATAAGCACCCTACACAGTATGTTCCAAAGGGAAAATACCCCCTAAATCAAATGCAGAAAGGAGTGTCAAATAGCAAGCTCTCAAAAAATGTTAGCTACTGTTATTAAGAGCTGGTAAGGCCGGGCATGGTGGCTCACGCCTGTAATACCAGCACTTTGGGAGGCCAAGATGGGTGGATCACCTGAGGTCAGGAATTCAAGACCAGCCTGACCAACATAGTGAAACCCCGTCTCTACTAAAAATACAAAAAGTAGCTGGGCGTGGTGGCGTGCACCTGTAATCCCAGCTACTCAGGAGGCTGAGACAGAAGAACTGCTTGAACCTGGGAGGCAGAGGTTGCAGTGAGCTGAGATTGCACCACTGCATTCCAGCCTGGGTGACAGAGTGAGACTCCATTTCAGAAAAAAAAAAAAAAGCTGTTAAGTTATAATCGGCTTCCTGTGTCTCAAAGTCGGTTAGCTTTCCTGAGAATGTCAGCAGCAGAAGCTCATTTAATAAATTCCATGAGGCACATCTCAGAAGTCCCATTCTTGCCCCAAATGCATCACCTGAATCTAATCATGAGGAAACCTCAGACAAACCAAAATTGAGGGAGATTTAAATGAAATAACTGGTCTGTATGCTTCAAAAATGTCAAAGTTATGAAAGACAAAGAGATGGCTGAAGAACTATTCAGATTAAAGGAGACAAGACTGTGAAGTCAATGCATGATCTTGGATCAGACTCTGGACCAGAAAGAAAAGAAAATGCTTTAAAGGATACTATTAGAACACTTGGTCAAATTCAAATAAGGTCTTTAGATTAGGTAATAATATTGTATGATCGAAAAAACTTCTGGTTTTGATAACTGTCCGATGATTATGTAAGAAAATGTACGTGTCATTGAGATATACAACCCAAAGTATTTAAGGGTACAAGGTCATAATGTCTCAAACTTACTCTTGAACACTTAAGAAAAAAACTAGTATGTAGGCTTGGCACAGTGGCTCACGCCTGTAATCCCAGTAGTTTGGAAGGCCGAGGCTGGTGGATCACTTGAGGTCAAGAGTTCAAGACCAACCTGGCCAACAAGGTGAAACCCCGTCTCTTCTAAAAATACAAAAATTAGCTGGGCATGGTGGCATGCACCTGTAATCCCAGCTACTTGGGAGGTTGAGGCAGGAGAATCGCTTGAACCCGGGAGGTAGAGGTTGCAGTGAGCCAAGATTGTGCCACAGCACTCCAGCCTCGGCAACAGAGACTCCGTCTCATAAAAAAATTAATATGTAAATATTGAAAAGTAGTGACAAAGCAAACGTGGCAAAACGTCCCTTGGTAAATGTCGGTTGCGGGTGTTTAAGAGTTCTTTGTGCTATTTCTGCAACCTTTATGCACATTTGAAATTATTTCAAAATAAAAAGTAAAGTATACCTAAATAAGAGGAAGCTAGGAAGTGACAAAACCATTAAAGGAAGAATAAGAAACCGCAGTTCTGCCAGCAGCCAGCTCCCTGCTGGTTCCCACGTCAGGCGCTGTGAGAAGCCCTTTGCCTCTTGGTCCTGTGTCCTCACCATGCCCCCTTGTGGTCAGCCTAGAAAAGCCAACTTGATAGTTACAGGCTGCTTCAGATGTGCCACCCATGTGGTGACAAGTCCTGAAGTGTTGGCATGGGTGGTACTGAGAAAGGCGATGGATCCAGGGTAGTGCAGCAGCCAGTGGCAAGGGATGAGGAGGGGGCTCCAATGGCATCGTTCGACCTGCCTGCTACCTTTTTACCTACATGTCTCATGAAGGGATCAAGGAGAAAAGCACTGTGGTCTGGGAAAAGACTTCTAGCACTGAGACGCTGCCTTCAGGGGCCAAGATTAACCTGGCTCCCCAGAAGAGGAGCAGTGCTCATTGTCAGACAGAAGAGGGCGCTGTTTTCTCCCGTGTCATCATTTGAATTGGCACCGACAGGCTTTGACCACCAGCTATGCCCACTGAGTGTGGTTCCACAAATCTGCACGTTCCAAGGGCAAGATTTAGGGTGAGGTTAATGAGACAGGGTCAAGTACAAGTTCAGGGGCTGATCATGTATTTACTTTGTTACTTTGTTCATCATGGATTTTTCTTCATTAATTTTTGATTTTTCAAAATATTGCATTGAATGTTATTTAGCTTCATTACTGAGTTATTTGGCAACTCCTTAAATTTTGTGCCTAAGGCTAGTGTCTCATTGGCCTTGCCCTAGTCCTGCCTTGACAGATCTAATCCATTAGTCGTATCACCACCAGCTCAGAGTTTGCAATTAGGCCCTTTTGTACCTATAAAGAAAGGACTGGCAAAAGGAATTAATCCTGAGAATGTAAATACCTGCTTTTTTTTTTTTTTTGGGCAGTCTTACTCTGTCACCCAGCCTGGAAGACTAGAATGCAGTGGCGCAATCATAACTCACTGCAGCCTCTAAATCCTGGGCTTAAGTGATCCTCCCATCCTCCCACCTCAGCCTCCAGGGTAGCTGGGGCCAGAGGTATACACCACCATGCCTGGCTAACTTTTTTATTTTTAGTAGAGACAAGTTCTCGCTATGTTGCTCAGGCTGGTCTCAAACTCCTGGGCTCCTGCCTCAGCCTCCCAAGGTGCTCAGATTACAGATGTGAGCCACTGCACCCAGTCAAATGCCTGCTTTTGATGCCACTTCACAGCCAGCAACTAGAGACCAACTTCTTAATCTCCAAGTCTCAATTTCTTCATCTGTAAAATGAGGATAGCAATTGCTGCTTTGCAGTTTATTCTGAAAACAGATTATCACCCCAACTGAGTACCCCTAAGGGCCAGGCGCCCTGCTAAGTCTGCCCTTTAGTTATAACCTCTCTAAATTTTCACAGCCCTACCATGTAAGAGATACTATTATCCCCATGTTAAAGGTGAGGAAAAGGGCACAGAAAAGTTTGGTTATCCGTCCAAGGCTGAACAGTCAGTAAGTAAAAGTGTATATGCTTTAACGTAATCAGCATACCCGACATGAGATGACCCCCATGCCCCCAGGGATATTTGGCAACATCTGCCGAGATTTTTGGTTGTCACAAGTGGGGGATGCGATTGGCATCTAGTGGTGTCTAGTGGGCAGAGGCAGGGGATGCTGCTAAGTGTCCATTAATGCACAGGATGGTCCCCACAACAAAGTACTATCTGCCCCCAAATGTCGGTAGTGTCAAGGCTGAGGAGTCTGCTCTATGCTATGCTCCCGAGTCAGAAAGTTACATGAGGACTTAGCACTTAGTGCTCCATGGAAGGTAGACATTGTTGTGGTTGTTGTTATTATTACCTTTTGTCTCTATGGCTGGGGGTTCCTGTGGCTTCCAGGGAAGCTGAGTTCCCTTGGCATCACACCCACACCGTGATCAAGAACCCCGTCTCTAGGCCGAACATGGTGGCTCACGCCTGTAATCTCAACACTTTGGGAGGCCAAGGTGGAAGGATCGCTTGGGTCCTGGAATTCAAGACCAGCCAGAGCAACATGGTGGAATCCTGTCTCTACAAAAAAAATACAAAAATTAGCCAGGCATGGTGGCATGCACCTGTGGTCCCAGCCACTTGGGAAGCTGAAGTAGGAAGATTAGATTACTTCAGCCTGGGAGATTGAGGCTGCAGTGAGCTGAGATTGCGCCACTGCACTCCAGCCTGGGTGACAGAACGAGACCCTGTCTCAAAAAAAAAAAAAAAAAAAGAACTTGGTCTCTGGCATCCATTAGAGCATCATATGTCGCATTCAGCAATGATTTATTGAGCATCTGCTGCTACATGACAATCCTATTCCAGGCAGCACAGACACATGGAGGTGCCCCTGCCCCTATGCAGCAGCCTGGTTGAGAGACAACTTTAGACAAGGAAACACACAAGCTCAGAGACAACAAGATGTTATAATGCACACCATGAAGTGAAAGACCTGGGTGCTACGAGAGAGAAGAAGAGGGAAGACCCTGATAGGGTTGGGAGGCCAGGAGGGCTTCTCTGAGGGTGTGACATTTAAGCTGAGCCCTGAGGCTGGAGGAAGAAAGAGCACTGTAGGCGGAGAGAACAGCCGTGCCAAGGCCCTGAGGGGGGAACCGAAAACCGAAACCAGGCAGTGGAGGGGAGACTAGTTAGGGAGGAAGAGAGGAGTAGAGTGTTATGACCTGGGAAATGTGAGTGGGTAGAGGCCACATTAAGGAGTTGGGTCATTGACCGATAAAAGCCCTGGAAGGATTTTAATCAGAGCAGGCCTGCCCTTCAGAAAGTGACTCTTGAGGTCCAGGCACAGCCCTGTGTGGAAGATAATGTGTGAGGCTGAAACCCAGAGTGTGTGTCATCATCTGGGAACAACTCTGCAAAGGTGAGGTTTGTCACAGTTACACAACCTTAACTAATGCACCTTCCTCCCCACAAACTCTAAGCTGGTTGTGAAACGTGGCAATGGAGCATTTTGCATATGTTACAAAATTATTGTTAATGCTCATTCATTTTTTGGACAAAGACCAGCATCAGTCACTGGAAACACCTATTTGGATCACGAGGCTTGTCCTCTGCCAGGAGTGAGCACTTTCCTGCAGGCTTCTTGTTTCTTCTTGCTGCTTTTGGGTGACTCAGCCTATGACATTTTGCTTCTCCTGAAATCTCCATATCTTGCCTTTCTCAAATTCCAAGGTAGCCTTTGCGCAACATATCAGTCTCCACTGACTCCTGTCCCATCAGAGCCCGTAGTGGACGGCTGTATGGGGGCCATGTGTCTGAACTCCTGATCCTCATTTCAGCCCATTCATGTGACATGCACGGAGCTCTTCAGCAGGGACTTACGGACCAGGACAAGAGCTTGAGGCTTTGAGGGGATCTGATTGTCACTGCACAATCAAGGACAGTATTCCCAAAAGTAGATGTTGCTCAAGATAGTCCAAGGAATTCTATGAAGAAAAGGACTCCGCAGACAATAAATTTTGGACACCCTGTTTCAACACAGTTAAGTGGCTTTTTACAATTACAGGACTTTTCAGAACATTTAATATGCTAATGTGCATTATAAATCTCCAAGAAAGAATGATGCATATTTATCTTTTCTTCCAGGTGCATCTTGGAGACTGGTGTTTGCAAGTATATGGAGCAGGAAACTTCATCCCGAGGATGGAGACCCCGGAGCTGTCAGCAGGAGTTAGGCAAGTGCCTCAAAATTCCCAGTTCCCAGCAAGAGAAGCCAACCGAAGGATGAGACAGAGGGTTTCTGCCTTACCAGGGTCGTCCAGTACTGCATGGAGGGGTTGAAGTGAACCTTCTGCAGGTGGGGTCAATGACTCTTGGAGGTAGGGGAAAGCTTCCCTTGACTCAGTTGCACACAAAGACAGAAAACGTGTTTGCATGGGCATTGTTGAACCTGCTTAAAAGAATGAAAAACTTTTAGCACTTTTTTCTTTATCTCTAATTAATAAAGAAGTACATGTTTTTGCAAAAAAAAAAAAAAAATCAAACAATACACAAGTATACAGAGTAAAAAGTGGAAGTGCTCCTTTCATCTCCTGCCCTGCATCCCTCCCTGCACCCCCAGTGTTCCATATTAAGGTTTTGATATGCCTGGTTCGGTGGGTGAGAAAGTTAATCTGGAGTCAGCACTCTGAGACTGAATCTCAGCTTTGCCACATGCTAGGTCTGTTTCCTGGGGCACAAGCCTCAGTTTGCTCATCTCTAAAATAAAGCAGCCATAGGAAGGGCTGGGGGGATATGGAGTGAGATGAAACACAGAAAGCCCTAATGCAGCACCTGCACCTAGTTGGATTCAGTTAAATTTGGCTCTTAGAGTTGTGCTTCCAGAATCCAGGCATTTTTTAAAAGGTCCAATTTCATTCCATGGGTGTGCTAATTAGAGAATGGGGTTCATCTCTTAATCTGTTCATGTGACTCTTCTTTAAGTCCTCAAGGGCAGTTTCTATATGCAGAAACCACTATTTAGAGGTTTATTTTATTTTTTCAAGTTAATACTCAAATTGTCAAAGCTGGAAATTAAAAAAAAATTACTTGACTTTCTTTATTCTACACATTAGCTTGTTTTTAATGCTAGGAATGAAGAACTTTTCTAAGACTCTGATGGAATGATTACTATCTTAGAAAATGCCATGCCTCTGTAAATATATATACCTACTATGTACCTGCAAAAATTAAAAATAAAAAAATTTGTTAACAGAAAAAAAAGAAAATACCATGCTTTTAAGGTCAGCTTACAAAGATTCTCATTCTTTTTATAAATCCAGCTAGGATTTCCAGATAAAATACAAGTTGTCCAGTTAAATACGAACTACCCCAAATTCAAATCTACCTACTGTTCTATGACTTTATTTGTTAAATCTGCCAACCCTAAACCCAACAAACCTGAATAATTACTTATAAGGGGTTTGTGGCCGACTAATAAACATTTTAAACTTTATTTAATATGCCGTATTTTCTTTTAAAATTTCTTCAATTGTCTGAACTAACAAAAAAGCTACCTTTAAAAAATACTAAATCATTTGAATTCTAATAAAGCAAACAAACAAAACACTGACGATAACCCAAAGTGTTTATAAATGTTCCAGAACTGTATTCAGACAAAGGTTTCAACGCAAAGTCGTGAATCTGAATCAAACCCTACCAAGTGCACATTTTATAAGAGAGTTACAAGATTTTCTATATAGTTGGCCAAGCAGCTCTCATTAAGTCCATAAAATATCACATATTCCATCTTAAAACACACAAAAACATTATACCATGGCTCTGAGTCTCTTAAACATTTCTACACTTAATTCTGAATCTTTTTCTGGTTGGAAGATGCCTATTCACTAAGAAAGACCATTAACCATTCCCTAGAACTCCTTATTTATTTATTTGTTTATTTGTTTATTTATTTATTTATTTACTTTTTGAGATGGAATCTCACTCTGTTGCCCAGGCTGGAGTGCAGCGGTGTGATCTTGGCTCACTGCAACCTCTGCCTCGCAAGTTCAAGCCATTCTCCTGCCTCAGCCTCCCAAGTAGCTGGGATTACAGGCACCCACCACCATGCCCAGCTAATTTGTGTATTTTTAGTAGAGATAGGGTTTCACCATGTTGGCCAGGCTGGCCTTGAACTCCTGACCTCAAGTGATCCACCCACCTCAGCCTCCCAAAGTGCTGGGGCTACAAGAGTGAGCCATTGCATCTGGCCCAGAGCCACTTTTTACCAGAGATTCAACCAGGCCTGAGGTCTTAGGTTGCAGACAACAGGGAGATTGATTGCGGCACGAACTCAGGAAACCATTTCCTTCCATGTACTATTTGGGGTTATCTTATAGAATTCCTGCCATGCTTGGCCAGGATGCTGCCTGAATGTATGTTGGAGATACATGTACAATTTTCCCTGTGGCTGTGGCCCCAGACCCATCCTCTTAAGAGGGGTTGGTCCGCAGATCCCGATGCTGGCTTGGAGTTATTCTTATTCCCTATCTTTTTCACAGAATTGTCTCTGCCAAAATCCATTAATGTATCTTGATTGGATTTTGCATTTTTTTTTTTTTCTTTACAGACCTTCATAGTTTCCTGCCCAAATCTCTAAATGTCATTTTGCTTGAGTTGATATCCTACAGTTCTTACAAGACCTTTCTCTCCCAGGGTCACACAACTCTCGTCAATATTAAATTAATATCAGCTTGAGTCACGGGTCTTTCCATGGGTTTCACGGGTTATTTGCTCACAGAGTCCAGGGACATTTTCCTCATCCATTCCATCAGATCCCCAGTTGCTTTCTCTGGCAACACACTGCTAGTATTTGTACAGTAAAACAGTCTAAAAAATTAAGTAATTCAAACTACCCTTGACCTTACTTCACATCACCAGGGCAATTAGAGTCACAGTCTGGGTGTGTCTGAGGACACCAGGCCGCCAAATCCCAGTGATTTAGAGAAAACCCAGCAGAATTTCCCATGCCTCCTGCCTCATTGTCGCCCAGCAGAAGGTTCCGTCACCCCAGGTGCCCTCTAGGGTGGACCACTTCCGAGTTCATCCACTGTCAGGAAAAGGCACATGGCATGCAACCACAGGACCGATGACTAGATGTCAGAGCTGGCTCCCGGTTGGGATATGAGTGACTTTGTGGAGGATGGCGCCTAAATGAGGCATGCCAATTTCCGCACCCGGGTGACGAATATAGGGGCTCCTAAAAGGCTAGCCCAATGTATCTGTATTTCCTTGGGGATTAAATCCCATGATCTTCAGTTCCTCAGAGAACTGAAAGTTGCAACGAGAAATCCAGTAATTCCTGTTATCTGCAGGCTTTATAAGTCAGTGGAGCCTGCGGAGGTGGCCAGAATCCTGCACTGCAAGCGCTGCTGTCTTCTCACGGAGTCTTGAAGCCAGAGCAGCGCCAGGATGTCACAGGAGCTGGCCCCACTGCTGCTTCTCCTTCTCTCCATCCACAGTGCCCTGGCCCTGAGGATCTGCTCCTTCAACGTCAGGTCCTTTGGGGAAAGCAAGCAGGAAGACCAGAATGCAATGGATGTCATTGTGAAAGTGAGTCCCTTTCCTGGGAGGAGGATCCCAGACACCCCTCACACCCTCTCTCCTGTCTTCAGACTTTAAGAGACTCAAGGTACTTAAAGTTGGCCCTTAGGGGGAATGTAGAAGCTGGCTTGGAACAATAACCACTTCAACTCTCTGTGCCTCCTGCCATCATCTTAAAACAGGGGCTCTCTCCAGGATCGCTGAGGGGACTATAGGAGTTGGTAAATAGAAAGCTCTTAACGTAGTATCTGGCTCATTATACGTTCCACATAAGGGTTGGCTATTATGATTTTTATTGCTATTTATTGAATGCCTGTATCAGGCACTATAAGCACATGGTTTCATTTCATCATCTTTATGAAGAGGGACTATTACTCCCCATGCAGAGGTGATGAACAAAGAAAGATGAAGTAATCTTATACAGCTACTCCTTTTCACCAGCAAAGCCCAGCTCCTTTCTCTCTCTTTTCTTTTCTCTTCTTTCTTTCTTTCTTTTCTTTCTTTCTTTCGTTCTTTCTTTCGTTCTTTCTTTCTTTTTCTTTCTTTCTTTCTTCTTTCTTTCTTTCTTTTTCTTTTCTTTCTTCTTCCTTTCTTTTTCTTTCTCTTTCTTTCTTTCTTTCCCTTCCTTGCTTTTTTCCTTCCTTCCTTCTCTCTCATCCTCACCATCCCTCCCTCTCTTTCCTTTCTTCCTTCTTCTCCTCCTTCCTTCCTCTTTCCCCCTCCTCTACTCCCCCGTTCCTTCCACCGTCACTTAGGCTTTCCTTGGGTGATATATCCAGTGTCTGGGGACACTGCTCGCTTTCTCTGGAGTCAGTTGACTCCGTTTAGCTTACAGGGTAATTTATTTTTGATGCTGGCAACTTAACCCTTTCCCAGGACTCTGGAAAGGTACTTATTACCTTAGGAAACCTGAGGCACCATGGTGTGGTAGGGGGGCCAGGAGCCCTGGGTTCAGATCCCACCTACCAGACTTGTGAGCTTCAGGAGGCCCTGCACCTCCCTGAACCACCAGCTATTCTCAGCAAAACGGCGACCACGCCCGAATACCAGCCCGAATACCACCTGTAGCGCTGGCTGGGGAAGAGAACTCAGGGTGCCTGAGGCGCCCAGCAGAGCCTGCAACAAGGCGGGTATTCATGAGCCAGAGCCGCTGCTGTTGCTCTCATTGGGAAGGAGGATTGGAGTGAGGACTGGCAGGCTCTGTTCTTACTTGGATGAGCCTCTCAGACCCGGGTGGCCCTGCCCTTTGGGAGGTACACAAGGCCTTCTAGATGGTGTTGTTTAGCCAGGATAGCAATGCCAAGCCTGTGGGAACCATGACAAGATTGTTCAGTGGGAAACCCTGACATCTAAGGAAATGATTTTTCCCACTTCACACATGGCCCGTGGAACCTGGGTAGCCACTGAGTTCCCATCTCCTTCCTCACTGATGCAACCCGGCTGCCTTTTTGTTCCTTAGTGAGTCCATCACAGGGGCTTGAATTCTGCATCTCCCCTGAGCAGCTCTGTCCTGCAGGGCGTGTCCGAAGTCCTTGTCAAGGCTGCATCACCCTCCCCATCCTACCAACAGGCCATCCCCAAAACACTGCAAGAGCCACCCAACAGCACACTCACAGTCACCCGAGAATGCCAGGCACTCAGAATAGGATTATCTCTAGCGCCCATTGACTAAGCACCTCCTATAGGCCAGGAATTCTATATTCAGATTTAATACTGTGACTTAGGTGGTGTCGCCCCCATTTCATAACTGAGTAAATGGAGGCTGAGAGTGGCCCCTTATCTAGATTTCCATAGCCAGTAAGGGGAAGAGTTGGGGTCAAACACCCCCCTGCAGCCCAGCCATAGAAGCTGAGATGCCTTCTCCACTCTTCCGTCCGGATTTATCGCTTCAGAGACTCAGCAGCATCATGCTGCTGTCATCCTGACCTGCACTGGGGAGGCTGGAGAGTGAGGGAGGCCTGTCTTCTCCATCTTGGGTTGGCCCCCGCATATCATGGGCAGCTGTCCAGATGCCAACCCCTCCCTGGCTGAGTGTCCCCTGTTTGTGCGTTTTCCAGGGTGTCCTTAAAGAACAGAGCTTGTTCATCCAGCAAATGCTCAGTGAAGCTAGACCTTGTATCAGACACACCAGGGCACTGAGGATGTAGCAGTGGCTGTGGGAGGCATTGCCTCCCTCTTCACAGAGCTTACAGCAGAGGGCAATGGTTATTTCAGGAGTGCATGCTATGTGCCAAGCCCTTAATGTGCAGTATCTAATTCAGCCGCACAGCCACTCTGATTATTGTGCCCATTTTGCAGAGGAGGCAATGGAACTCAGAGGTGAAGTGAGTTGCCCAAATAGCTGTGGAGCACATAAGTGGCAGAGGGAGGGCTGGAGCCCAGGCTCTTCCCACCATGCTGAGCTGCTCCCTTTTTAGAGGCATGACATAGGGTTTCACAAGCCACCCTCTGGCCCAGATCTTTTTTTCTTTCTTTTCTTTTCTGCTCTTTCTTTTTAATTTTCTTTCTTTCTTTTTTTCTTCCTTCCTTCCTTCCTTTCCTTCTCTCTCTCTCTCTCTCTCCTTCCTTCCTTCCTTCCATCCATCCATCCTTCCTTCCTTCCTCCCTTCCTTCCTCTCTTTCTCTCTTCCTCTCTTCCTTCCTTCTTTTTTTTTTGGACAGGTTCTTTCTCTGTTGCCCAGACTGGAGTGCAGTGGTGCAACCACAGCTCACTACAGCCTTGACCCCCTGGGCTCAAACAATTCTCCTATCTCAGCCTCCTGAGTAGCTGCAACTACAGGTGCACACCACCATGCTGGCTAATTAAAAAAAAAATTGTAGAGATGGGGTCTCGCTATGTTACCCAGGCTGGTCTCAAAGTCCTGAGCTCAATATCCTCCTGCCTCAGCCTGCCAAAGCACTGGGCTTACAGGCATGAGCCACCATGCCCGGCCTGTCCCGGATATTTCAAGACCCCTCCAGACCATCTCTTCCCCTCTCCCCAGGCCCACTTATAACACACATTGCTTGGATTCTGTCAACACTAGGCATGCACAACCCAGAAATTCCTCTTCCCCTCCTGTGAACAGAGTCAGGAATTTGGCCTTAGGGAGATATCAGTGTTTCAGGTCTCGGCTCTGGAAGGTTTCCTCCCTGGGACTCTCATCCTGGGAGCCCCCTCTTGAGAAGATGGAGCCAGGGCAAGTATATTTTTCCTGGTCTGAAATTTGAACAGGGAGAACATGTGTCAAGTGGGATTAGAAAATGGAGTATTTGGCTGGGCACGGTGGCTCATGCCTGTAATCCCAACACTTTAGGAGGCCGAGGAGCATGGATCACCTGAGGTCAAGAGTTCGAGACCAGCCTGACCAGCATGGAAAAACGCTGTCTCTACCAAAAATACAAAAATTAGCTGGGCGCGGTGGTGCAGGCTCCTGTAGTGTCAGCTACTCGGGAGCCTGAGGCAGGAAAATTGCTTGAACCCAGGAGGCGGAGGTTGCAGTGAACTGAGATAGCACCACTGTACTCCAGCCTGGCCACAAAGCAAGACTCCATCTCAAAAATAAATAAATAAACACATATAGTGGTCAAGAAGGTGCTCTGTAGTGTAGATAACCTGTTGTCCTGTATTCACTCTGTGTTCAAATTATTAAACCTCATGGAGCCTCAGGGTACCCAACTACACTAGCATTGAGGACCAGCATCAAAGAGTTATCATGAAACTGATTAATTGCCGGACGCGGTGGCTCACGGCTGTAATCTCAGCACTTTGGGAGACCAAGGCGGACAGATCACCTGAGGTCAGGAGTTCGAGACCAGCCTGACCAACACGGTGAAACCCTGTCTCTACTAAAATACAAAAATTAGCTGGGCATAATGGCAGGTGCCTGTAATCCCAGCTACTCAGGAGGCTGAAGCAGGAGATTCACTTGAATCCAGGAGGCGGAGGTTGAACCCAGTGAGCCGAGATTGCGCCACTGTGCTCCAGCCTGGGTGACAAGAGTGAGACTCTGTGACTCTGTCTCAAAAAGAAAAAAAAAAAAAATTGATGAGTCAATGATAAGAGGTAACTCTTATGAAACCCTTCCTATGTGCCAGGCACTGTATTAAGCATGTTATATAAGACAACTCGTTTAACTTATATTAAATAAGTTAGTTAGAAATGCACCTGTCATGTCCTGATAAATTTTGGCCATTACCTCCCACAATTTCTTCCCCATTGAGCAGTTTTCTTTTTTGAATAAGACTTCCATTTTAATTATAAAGGTCTAATTTTTAAATTATATTCTGTATAAATTAAATAATGATTTTTAAAATGAAAATAGTCATTAAAGATGATTTTTAAAATACAGAAACCTGTAAAGAAGAAAGGAAATCATTCATTACCCTGCCACTTGAAGGTAATTGTTCTTGGCATTTGGGTAATTTTCTTACAGGCATATGTAAGTCCGCATGGGTTTCGCAGCAGAAACACCATCCTGTGTCATCAGTTTTGTATTCTGCTTTATATTACATTTCCCATGATGTTCATATTCTTTTAAAACATGCCTTTAATGCTATATAATGCCTTACCCTGTGTTTGCAACCTAATTCATTGAATGATTTTCTGTTTGGCAATACCTAGGTTGTTTCCAATTTTTTGTTGCAATACATCTTTATCTTTTTTTTTTTTTTGCTTCAAGTTTTAATCAAAGCTTTTATTAAGATTACTTTATTCCTGCATCTTCTCAGTTGTTTCTTCCTTGTATTTGCCCTTTTCCTTTCCTACTTGGCGAGATTTGGCTTTCCGTTCAAGGATCTTTTTGCGGTCTTTGTCCAGTTTTAGCCTAGTGATAACCACCTTCCTTGGGTGAATGCCTATGTGGACCGTTGTGCCATTAGCCTTTTCCCGCTGCACCCGTTCAATGTAGATAACATATTTCTTCCTGTAAACCTGGACTACTTTGCCAATTTGCTGACCTTTATAGTGTCCTCGTACAACCTGAACTTCATCATCCTTTCAGATGGGCATGGATCGCACGTTGTACTTCTGTCTCAGCTCTTTGGAAAGAGGGGAAGACATAATCTTCCTGCGAATGTGGGAAGGTGCATTGAAATGCCTTTTGCGATTCTTGCTTCGGTCGGAAGTCACAAAGGGATTAAACTTCATTTTGGCCGCTCCCGCTTAGGTGATGGCCGCAAAAGGGAAAAAAAAGCACATCTTTATCTTTGATCTGTACAGGTAATAATGATTTGTTTCATGCCTCCTACATGGCTGGCACTATTCTAAGTACCCACTTAATCCTCTAGCAACCCCATGAGGGATTGATATTTTCATCCCAATTTATACATGAGGAACCTGAGGTGCAGAGAAATTGTGGATATTTCCTTACAACGAGAGACATTCTTTTTTTGTTTTGAGTTGGAGTCTCACTCTGTCACCCAGGCTGGAGTGCAGTGGTGTGATCTTGGCTCACTGCACCTCTGTCCCTCGGGTTCAAGTGATTCTCCCACCTACGCCTCCTCAGTAGCTGGAATTACAGGCACACGTCACCACGCCAGGCTGATTTTTGTATTTTTAGTAGAGACAGGGTTCAGCATATGGCCAGGCTGGCCTCAAGCTCCTGACCTCAGGTGATCTGCCTGCCTTGGCCTCCCAAGTGTTGGGATTACAGGGCTTCAGCCACCTGCACCCCAAAGGAAGACATTCTTCAAAGTGGAAAAATTGGGTCAAAGGGCATACCTATTTGAAAATGCTTCCAGAAAGGCGTGTGGCAGTCACAGTGGACTAAATCAGCAGACTGGCTTGGCCAGTGACTCCAGCTCCCAGGAGAGCCCTGCGTGGCTGATGCCATGGAGTTCAAGCTGTCCATGGAAGGGCTCCAGCCTTAGCGACATTGTTCTCCTGTCGGTCACTACAAGGGTGGACCTCCCACCTCGGGCAGCCTCCTAAAGGCTGAACCCCCAGTCACAGAGGCACCCAGACAGGTAAGTGCTGGTGTCTCTCCCCACTGGTCCTTCTAAAGATGGAACTGGAACATGGTGCTCTGGAAAGACAGGACCACTGGCATAAACCCTCTATTATGTCTTTGGTGGGCTGTGTAAGAGGACATAATAACCTTGGAGACCAGGGTGCAGTGGTATGCCTGTACACCCCAGCATTTTGGGGCCAGGGTGGAAGGATCACTTTGAGGTCAGGAGATTGAGGCTGCGTAATTCATGATCACACAGCTGCACTCCAAGCCTGGCGGTGACAGAACAAGACCCTGTCTCAAAAAAGATATTAACCTTGGGGATGGGTGCCTTGACCGAACAATCCTGTGTCATTGACGCCCACCAGGATCCCATACACAGAAAAGGCCCTGTGGCTTGGTCACAGGAAGGGCTGTGGGCTTTGGTCTCGCCCCTGCTCTAGGTGGGTTGCTCACCTTGAAACACGAGTCTTCCTATATCTCTTTCTTCTCTGAGTGCCTTCTCAGCTTTCAGGGACCATTCAAAATGTCACCTCCACTGTGGGAGCCCTTCCAAATCCTCCGAATAGAAGCGATTAATTACTCCTCAACACTTCCACAGCTTGTACTTTTATGCTAGCGCCAGGTTTTTTGTTTGGTTTGATTTTGGTCTCACATTGCATGAGCTAGCGTTTCCATTTGGTCTGTCTTGCTGGACTGAGTCTTCCAGAGCAGGTGACTGTTTTTCTTTTTTTTTTTTTTTTTTGAGATGGAGTCTTGCTCTGTCGCCAGACTGGAGTGCAGTGGCGTGATTTCGGCTCACTGCAACCTCTGTCTTCCAGGTTCCGGATTCTCCTGGCTTCAGCCTCCTGAGTAGCTTGGGCATTACAGGGCAACATGCCACGTGATGATCCGGAGATAAGAGGAGCGGGTTTCACCATGTTAGCCAGGCTGAACTCGAACTCCTGACCTCAGGCAATCTGCCTGCCTCATCCTTCCAAAGTGCTGGGATTATAGGTGTGAGCCACCGTGCCCAGCCAGGACTGTGTTTTAACAGTTCAGTATGGTGGACTTTGTAGTCACGTGGACTTGAGTTCAAATCCTGGCTCTACAACCTATACTGGCTGTATGACTTTAAGCTAGTCACTCAACCACTCTGAGCTTGGTTTCTGCCTATGTTTAATGGACTAAAAAGCATAGTTATCCCATAGGGTTATTGTAAGACTTGGAGTAGGTTTGCAGTAAATGTCAGCTTTTATAGTTATTATCATTATACCTCTTAATTTCTAATCCAGTCTGTTACCTTTGCTGACTAAGGGCTTAATATTTATTATTATTATAATTATTCAAGCAAAGCCAAGAGGCAGGATATTGTGGGGAGGTCATGAGCAAGGGGCTCTGGGCTTGAATGGTATAGGTTCAAATTCTGCCTCCACCACTTTCTAGTAGGGTGACTGGGAGTGTAATTTACTCAACTTTCTCTGAGCCTCACGCTCATCTTAAAAATGTATATAACAAAAGCACCAACCTACCTCAGGGAGTCCTTCATTTAGTTCAGAGTAGAAATTATTTTAATAAGCACTCAATGCAATGCTTAAAAACAGTAAGTGTCCAATAAAAGGTTTTATTTATCTGTGGTAAATGACCTCAACCCCTGGGGATTCTCTTTCTTGCAGGTCATCAAACGCTGTGACATTATGCTCCTGATGGAAATCAAGGATAGCAACAACAGGATCTGCCCCGTACTGATGGAGAAGCTGAACGGGTAACATGGGGAAGGGTGGGCCCACTAGGGCTCAAGGTCAAGTGCAAGGGCATCTGAACGCTCCAGGGATCTGAAAGTAATGTGAGATCCCACACTTGACCACCAGTTCACATAGCCTGTGCTGCCCAGGATTCCAACTCCCTTAGCCATGGTCCTGAGAACTTTCTTTTTTTTTTTTTTTTTTTTAGACGGAGTCTCGCTCTGTCGCCCAGGCTGGAGTGCATGGAGTGCAGTGGCACGATCTTGGCTCACTGCAAGTTCCGCCTCCCGGTTTCATGCCATTCTCCTGCCTCAGCCTCCCGAGTAGCTGGGACTATAGGCGCTCGCCACTACGCCCGGCTAATTTTTTGTATTCTTTAGTAGAGACGGGGTTTCACTGTGTTAGCCAGGATGGTCTCGATCTCCTGACCTCGTAATCCGCCCGCCTTGGCCTCCCAAAGTGCTGGGATTATAGGCGTGAGCCACCGCACCCGGCCTGAGAACTTTCAACCAGCTGATTTTACTGTGATAAAACAGAATAGGGGAAATAGATGAGGGGTCTGGACACAGAAAGAAATGAAAAAAGCAGATGAGGCTGAGCTAAAAAGTATGGTTATGAAGAAAATGTTGGAAAAAAGAGAAAAGATTAAAAACCAACAGTAGAAGAAAGATCAATAAAATTACGATATGCTCACACACTGGAATATTATGCAGCTGTTAAAAGTCACGCTGGTGGCCAGGTGTGGTGGCATGTGCCTACAGTCTTACCTACCTGGGAGGCTGAGGTGGAAGGCTCACTTGAGCCCATGAGGATTAGGCTACCGTGAACCATGATCACCCCACTGCACTCCAGCCTGGGCCACAAAGCAAGACTGTTTCTTTAAAAAAAAAAAAAAAATTCATGCTTGCTACAGAATAAGTTAGAGCTAAATATTCCAGCATGGAATAATGGCTGCAATGTATTGAAAAAAAGCAAGTTGAGAATTGCAGGTAAAATAGCCCTTTTGAGTCGTCATGTTACATGAATAAGGGTGTGTTTGTGTTTCCATGTGCATAGAAGATGAAAGATTGGAAGGATGCTCTCCAAACTATTAATAGTGGTTACTTCTGGGGGGTGTGATCAGAGAGCTGTGGTAAAAGGCGTTAGTGAAGGAATGAGGGACACTTGCTTTTTATTTTAGTACTTTTTAAATTTGAGACTCTGTCACCCTGGCTGGAGTGCAGCAGCAAGATCTCGGCTCACTGCAACCTTTGCCTTCTGGGTTCAAGCGATTTTCCTGCCTCAGCCTCCCAAGTAGCTGGATTTACAGTCATGCACCACTATGCCTGGCTAACTTTTGTATTTTTAGTGGAGTCGGGGTTTTGCTATGTTGCCCAGGCTGGCCTCAAACTCCTGACCTCAAGTGATCTGCCTGTCTCAGCCTCCCAAAATGCTGGGATTACAGGCGTGAGCCACTGCACCTGGCCATCTCAGCATGAAACACTTAATAGGGACTTTTGAACAAAAGCCATGTCTGGGTCTTGGGCAGGGGCGAGACGAGATGGTAGATCCGGGTGCCATCATCCCGTAACCTCTGGGCTTATCCATCATAGGGAAGGAATGTGTAGGACAACTGTAGGTACAGGCAAGAATCCATGTCAATCTGCCTAAGGGCTTCCCTTATAGTGAGGGAAATGAGTGAGGGACCTGCCTAAGTCACTCAGCCAGGAAGTGGCCACGCCTACCGCTGAACTTGCATCACATCTGATCTGATCTCATAGCCAGTGCTCTATTCTTTGTCATCTCATCCTTCCTTGGAGTGGTCCCAGTCAGGTTTGTGGGAGACTGAGGGGACAGGTTTGTGGGGGACTGAGGGGTCAGGTGGGCTCCAGGCATCTCCAGCACAGTCCATCTGGGGCAAGTCTTTTCACCACCATTGGTCTTGGCACTCCCCAACCTGTCTAGACTGTCATGGACTCCAGGCAGAGCCAAGCCTGTTTGTCCCTTTATCCCCCACAAGCCAGGATAGGCCTTAGTCACTTTGCAACTGAGTCACCACAAGCAGTTTGGTAACTCAGGACTTGGCAGGCTATGTTCAAAATAGGGCCAGCCTCCTCAAAGTGGAAGCCCAGCAGAACCTACTGTTCACACTCCTGGGGCCCCAGGGGCCAGGTCTGCCTTAGAATAATGCATCTGAAGTTCCAGGAATTTCTGTAAGATTGGCCCCTAAATACCCCTTCTGCTTTTTTTCCAACTGAACCTAAGAATATGCTGCAGCTTCAGACAAGCCCTAGATCTTTTTGTGAGCAGACAATGTGAAACTGTGTTAGGCTCTGCCCAGAGTGGAGTTATCAGTAGGTTTGGCAAACACACAGACAGTCCGGTTTCCCTGGTGCAGGTGAGGGGCAAGGTCAATGGGACTTCATGGCTGTATCCCCAGCACCCAGGATACAAACAACAGTGAAGTGAAATCATGTTCCCAAGGCTTGTGAGAAAATGCCTGGGGGCTTTCAGAGGAGAGAATATTCTTGCTTATCATAAATGCTCAGGAGTGGTTCGTGGACACAGACAGGTGGCTTGATGACGTTTATTCCACCAGAAGGCATAAGCTGCAGCTGCAGCCATGGGCATGAGTGGGGTCAGGGGCTGATTCTGGCCCAGATCGTCTTCTAGGGGCTCAGTGGCCTCCTACAGGTACAGGCCAAAGCATGCGGGTTTTGGGGTGAGTTGGATCTAGGTTCATATCCCAACTTGGCCTTGCAAACCATAAAAAGGGGATAACGATAATACCCTTCTCATAAGGCAAGAAATAATGGCTGTAAAGATCCTGGCAGATGCCACATTCCAGCCAATCAATGGTGGCCCTTCTTACTGGACTCAAAGGTTATGATGAACAGTGGCCCTTCCACACATTGGGTGTATGGGGGCAGATTGGAAAGAGAGGAACATGTACAGTAGGGGAATGTTTATTCTTTAAGATGCGGTGTGAAATCTTTCTTTTCTAGAAATTCAAGGAGAGGCATAACGTACAACTACGTGATTAGCTCTCGGCTTGGAAGAAACACATATAAAGAACAATATGCCTTTCTCTACAAGTAAGTATCATCTATGCTCCCTAGAACATGGCCACTAACAAATCGTGAATTGAATCAAAATGCATGTCTTCTCTGCAAAACCAAATTTGGATCTCTAACCAATTCTCAATGTTGATCAAAATAACTGCTGTCAAAACTGGGGGCTTATGCAAAGTATTAACTCTTCAAGCTGAAAACACAAGGGGTCTCCTAACACCTCATTTGTTGGTTGGCTCCATGGTTGCCAGGCCAGGAGTTCTTTACTCCTCATAGTCAAGTCCTGGCCCAAGGCTGGAAAGCTGAGGTGCTCAGCCCAGCTGATTCCCGAACTTCATATTCTTTTCCTCTTCCTGCTAGTAATTTCTTAAGTCTGAACATTAACCTGTGGGTGCCACAGATAACTAGTATGGCTCATATCTTCAGCTCCCAGATTCTCAACAGCTCCCTGGCTGTTGAGAAGAGTTGACTCAGCCTTGCTCTCAGGAAAATGACCCCATGCTTGAGCCTGCTCTGGAGTCTAAGAAAGCCAAGGGAACCTACATCTCTGCTTTATGAAAGTAGTAAGAAAAGGGCTGACTCAGCTGGGAGGATTTCCTTTTCTTTCTTTTAGGGAAAAGCTGGTATCTGTGAAGAGGAGCTATCACTACCATGACTATCAGGATGGAGACGTAGATGTGTTTTCCAGGGAGCCCTTTGTGGTCTGGTTCCAGTCGCCCCACACTGGTAAGACCCGCAGGCCTCTCTCTCGGGGACCTCCCCAACGGCCCATGAATGGGCAGCAGCCTTGAGCATGAGCTCAGGTTTATGCAGCCCGTTAGGGAGGCATTACGCTGGATGTGACAGTGCATTGCTTCTAATAACTCAGTGTAGACGATGCAGTTCGGTGTGATGGCACCAGGCTTGCTTCTCAGAATGCTGAGACTCAAGACTTCCCCAGCCTGGAACCCACTTTCTGGAAGCAATGGTAGCTCCCCTCTCTCTGAAGAGTTTAGGCGCATGGAAATTGTTTTCTGCAATTCCTTGGTTTCTGTCAAGTACAACCCTTCCTTCCTTTTAAAAAATCCTGGCTGGGCACAGTGGCTCACGGCTGTAATCCCAGCACTTTGGGAGGCTGAGGCAGGTGGATCACCCGAGGTCAGGAGTTCGAGACCAGCCTGGTCAACATGGTGAAACCCTGTCTATACTAAAAATGCAAAAATTAGCTGGGTGTGGTGGTACAGCTATCCCAGCTGGTAATCCCAGCTACTCGGGAGGCTGAGGCAGGAGAATTGCTTGAACCAGGGAGGCAGAGGTTGCAGTGAGCCAAGATCGTACCACTGCACTCCAGTCTGGGCGATAGAGTGAGACTCTGTCTCAAAAAAAACAAAAAACAAAAAAAACAATTCCTAAGCGATGGCTTAGGCGAACCGCTAGCCTGGAGGCTCACTCTCCCTCTGGTCACTGCATTGCAGACTCCTCCACAGAGTGCAGCAGGTGAGGAAATCCAAATGGATTGCTCCCTGAACTCTAACAACAGTACTTGTACTGGCCCCTGATTAAGTACCAGCCTCCTGTAATCCTTGCAATGACTACAAGGTAGGGAGTAGGATTATCTCCACTTTACATTTCAGGAAACTGAGGTTTAAAAAGGCGTGAAGTCACCCAGCTGCTGAAATGGACAGGCCAGGGTTGTAACCCAGGCCACCACCTCAGGAGCTCATGTTCTTTTTTTTCTGTTTTTCAGACAGGGCCTTGCTCTGTCATCCAGTCTGGAGTGCAGTCCCATGATCTTGGCTCACTGCAACCTCCGCCTCCTGGGCTCAAGCAATCTTCCCACCTCAGCCTCGCAAACAGCTCAGACTATAGGCACGCACCACCACACTCAGCTAATTTTAAAATTTTTTGTAGAGATGAGGTCTCGCCATGTTGCCTAGGCTGTTCTGAAACCACTGAGCTCAAGCCATCTGTCTGCCTTGGCTTCACAAAATGCTGGGATTACAAGTGTAAGCCACTGTGCCCAATCAGGAGCCCATGTTAACCACTATGCAATGCTCGATGGAGTCAAGAATCAAATACTTTTTCAGTACCTCCTATGTGCCAGGCTCTGTTGAGGGCATTGGACCAGACGGAGGCGGTGACATTGGGCTGTGACCTGAAGAAGCCAGCCATACAGAGGGCTGGAGAAAGGGCATTCCAGGTGGAGGGCACAGTGAGCACAAAAGCTCAGAAGTGGGAAGGAGGCTGGAATATTTAGGGGGACCAAAAGAAGGATGGGGGAGTGCAGTGGAGGCCTGACGAGGAGAGCCAGCGATGAGGGTGTGTGCAGCCTGCTGGGCTGAGTTCTGGCTCCCATCTGTGTGACTTGAGCAGTGACCACCCCACCGCCCTTGTCTGTTGAGGTAAGAGTGGGAATTCGGGCTGAGAATAAGGGGAGGTCCCAGGAGGAGGTGCTCAGAAAGTGACAGCTGCTGTCAGCAGGTGGGCCAGGCACGGCATCCGAGGGTCACGCACACTGCCACACTCAGGCTCTCTCAGTCCTCCAATGGTGGGGGAAGGTTTTCAGACACTTCACAAAAGTCTTTCATGAAGACCACGCTAATTTTTAAATAGCTTTTTGGAACTTTTGTTCTTAATTACAAGAGGAGTATAAACTGACAAGCCTCATTTTTTTTTTTTTTTTTTTTTTTTTAGATGGAGTTTCGCTCTTGTTGCCCAGGCTGGAGTGCAGTGGTGTGATCTTGGCTCACCACAACCTCTGCCTCCCAGATTCAAGTGATTCTTCTGCCTCAGTCTCCCGAGTAGCTGGGATTACAGGCATGCGCAACCACGCCCGGCTAATGTTGTATTTTCAGTAGAGACAGGTTTTCTCCATGTTGGTTAGGCTGGTCTTGAACTCCTGACCTCAGATGATCTGCCCGCCTTGGCCTCCCAAAGTGTTGGGATTACAGGAGTGAGCCACCACATCTGGTCAATTTTTCTTAATTAGAAAATTTTCGACTGGGCTTGGTGGCTCATGCCCGTAATCCCAGCACTTTGGGAGGCTGAGGCAGCTAGATCACAAGGTCAGGAGTTCCAGACTAGCCTGGCCAACATGGTGAAACTCCGTGTCTACTAAAAGTACAAAAAATTACCCGGGTAATTTTTTACAGGTGGTAGTGTGCACTGTAATCCCAGCTATTCAAGAGGCTGAGACAGGAGAATTGCTTGAACCTGGGAGGTGGAGGTTGTGGTGAGCTGAGATCGTGCCACTACACTCCAGCCTGGGTGACAGAGCAAGGCTCCATCTTGAAAACAAAAGAAAAACAACGAAAAAGAAAATGTTTTTCCTTAGTACAAAAACCAAACAGATTTATTATTTTTGAAAGGCAGAAAATAGGCTGGGCGTGATGGTTCACACCTATAATTCCAGCACTTTGGGAGGCGGAGATGGGTGGATCACCTGAGGTTGGGAGTTTGAGACCAGCCTTACCAACATGGAGAAACCCCGTCTCTACTAAAAAAATAATACAAAACTAGCCAGACTTGGTGGCACATACCTGTAAACCCAGTTACTTGGGAGGCTGAGGCAGGAGAATCGCTTGAACCTGGGAGGTGGAGGTTGCAGTGAGCTGAGATTGCGCCATTGTACTCCAGCCTGGGCAACAAGAGCAAAACTCTGTCTCAAAAAGAAAAAAAGAAAAAAAAAGAAAATCTTTAAAAAAAAGGTAGAAAATACAACCATAAATATATACAATTTTTAGCTGTCAATTTAAAAAAAGAAGAAGAGGGATAAAATACATCAGAAAGAAAAGAAAATAGATTTGCCACACACACACAAATGGGAAAATAAAAGCACCCACAATGCCAGCATGGAACACAGTTGTAATAAGTAAAATGTTCATTTAGAAGCAGAATGCTTGTTCCCTGGTACCGCAAAGAAAAATCAACATTCAGATAAAAAGTTTTCTCAGCAAGCCAATTTTACTTTCTGCAGAAAGGGTGCTCCTCGCAGATGGAACAATGGTGAGAGCACACCTGAATAAAGGAGGGAAGCAATTTTTATCCTTTACTCAGCTTGTCCCTGCTACTGTGTCCTGTCTCTATTGGTTGGAGCCAGACCACACAATCTAAGCTAACCTGACTGGCTAATAATTTAAACCTTTCCGAAATAGGTAAAGGCAAGGGAGAACAAAGGAAAAGAGGAAGTTGCTTATGCCAAATAGGGAAGGGGCAAAGGCTGTGAGCTGGAACGTGCCTGCGAGCATGTCCAGCACAAATATCTTGGTTAAGATACAAGGACGTAGAATGTACTACATGCCTGTAAGCATGTCTAACAGCTACACAGGATAGGGCTTAACAAAGAGTTATTAGCACAAAGCAAGGAGGCTTGAAGGCAGTTAGTCTTTAAAAGAAACTATTATTTCTAACACTTATGATTTATTCTTTAACAAGAAAGGAAACTTCGAAGAGGAAACTGTTTTACTTTCTACAACAGTCTACCAGTTTTCTCTTAGCCATCAAGGGCAACTGGGAGAAATGAGTCTTTTGTGTAATAAAAATAGGCAGCCGAATGATCCCGAGATCATTAAAATCTCAGCCACTAGTCGGACCCTCTGGGAACAGGGGACCCAGACAATGCAGCCTGTGCCTTCTGGAGGGGAGAGCCTGTTTCCGTCCAGCAGTGTTTGTGAGACCTTGACAAGGGAAGTGTGTGACCTCTGCCTCTTTCCTGTTCCTCAGCTGTCAAAGACTTCGTGATTATCCCCCTGCACACCACCCCAGAGACATCCGTTAAAGAGATCGACGAGTTGGTTGACGTCTACATGGACATGAAACACCGCTGGAAGGCAGAGGTGATGACTGCTGTGTCAGCCGAATTCCCATCTAGCAGGGGCAGGCTCTGGTCCCTGAGTGGGATGAGTACCTCTCCAGGGAGGGGGAGAGGGCAGGGCATGTGCAGGCTACCACCACTTACAGCCTTCTTTAAGGCCTTTCTTCAGCCCTAAGTATCCCTCTTGCTAAATCTGCCTGGGTACCCTGCACGTGGGCTTTGGGAATTCCCACACTTTCCCATTAATAACAGATGCCAACATTTACTGAGTGAATAGCTAGTGCCAGGCACTGTGCTGAGACTTGACATGGACAAGTTTATTTAATCCTCCCAATAATCCCTTGAGGTAGCTACAGTACCTTTCTCATTCTCACTTTGCAATTGAGAAGTGTGAGGCATAGAGCAGTCAGGATTGTTTCAGTTGCAAGGGACAGAATCTTAACATGGCTCATGAAAAGAAGGAGCAATTGATTGGTCTGTGTAACTGAAATGTCCAGGAGTACTTCAGGCATAGCTGGATCCAGGGCTCAGACAAGAGAATCAGGGCTTGATTTGTCTCTTCCTTTCCATCTCCTGGTCACCCTTTCCTCTACGTGGCTCCATTCTCAGGTTGGCCCCACCCATGGGATGGCAAGATGGCCACCAGCAGCCTCCAGACCAACTGATAAATTTTCTTTCCCACAATGCAACAAATACTGTGGGACTGAGTCTCGTTGGTTCTGACTGGGTCACATGTCCATCCCTGAACCAATCGTTGTGATCAGGGTGTTGAGATACTCTGATTGGCTAAATCTGTGTCCACCCCAGTTTCACCCCAAACTCACAGTTTGAGGTGCAGGAGGGATGGGTGGTCTCCCAAAGAAACTTGGAGTGCTGTTTTCACAGAAGGGGGCACACATTTGCCATCCCTATAGGCTCAGTTCTGTCCACTTTTGGAAGAGAGGGATGCACCACTTGTGGCTGTGAGGGTCTATGAAAGCTCTTCGCAAATATGGAAGTGCACCCAAGAGTTCTTCTTCTGTATTTCTCTTTTCTTCTTTCGTAATGTGACTCCTGTGATCCCCCTTCCTCCTCCTGAGTTCCACTGCTCCAAGTGCAAAATGAATCAAATAGACTGTGAACATAGTCCATCAGAGCTGGGGCATGGAAAAGACCAGGGGTGTATTTCATTGCTTATTAATAAATAGGTCAAAAGAAAGATTCTTTCTTTCCAAAAATTATGACATCATTCACTTATTAAACAAGAATGTATTGAGCACCTATTGAGTGTCGGGCTGTGGGGAGGCATCAGTGGCCTAAAAGTGAACAACAGGGGAAACTGCTTCAGTGAAGCAGACTTGGATGTGATTCTTTCTTTTTTTTTTTTCTTGAGATAAAGTCTCACTCTTTTCCCCAGGCTGGAGTGCAATGGTGCAATCTCGGCTCACTGCAGCCTCCACCTCCCAAGTTTAAGAGATTCTCCTGCCTCAACCTCCTGAGTAGCTGGGACTAGAGGCACCTGCCATCATGCCCAGCTAATTTTTGTATTTTTAGTAGAGATGGGGTTTCACCATGTTGGCCAGGCTGGTCTCGAACGCCTGACCTCAGATGATCCACCTGCCTTGGCCTCCCAAAGTGTTGGGATTACAGGCCTGAGTCACTGCGCCCGGCTGGGATGTGATTCTTGACTTCACCACTTGAACCTCCCAGTCCTGTGGCCTAGAGCAGGTCACTTAATCTCTCAATCCTGTTTCTATAGAGGTTAGTGGGCTCTTCTACCTCCTATTGTTTATTGCTGTGAGGTGTAAATTTAAAGACACCTAGTGCTAGGCCTGGCACATAGTGAATGTTCAGCAAATCATGTCTATGTTAGCAGAAGCTGGTGATCACTGAGGTTAAGAATGACCCTCTGTCCTCAACTGAACCCATCAATCACGGGGAGAATCGTGATCACTAAGATCAAAATAAAATGTTCTTGAAGAAAACTCTAAAGTCAGCAATGCCCCACCAAACAATAGCACAAACAAGGAAATCTGGCACTTCCTCTGGATTGTGGAATGTTGAAAATTCTGTTCCAAGAGCTGTGCGGGGAAAAATATTTCCAAGATGGAAAGTTTCTGTTGGTGGCCTTGGGTGGGGGTGGACAGCTCACTTGATGGTCCCCTCCCCTGAAGATGCCTCTCACCTCCTCAAGGAACTGAATTTTCACAGAAATAAGTTTCCAACTTCAAAACAATAGGAGAGAAAGAATGATGCCAGGGCTGCCAATACACCACCCAAATTCACTTTTCCTGCTTGAAAACAAAAGGCGTTGATTCATTCGTGTGTTTACACCCTACAGCAGTTTGAGCCAGAGACAAAAGATGTGAGGGATAGATTTACTGAATTTTTTTTATTCACACCTGACTCTGCATGCTGACATGGAATTGTGGTGACTCAGAACAGCAAACATTCTCCTTCCTGTTAAGAACACTCTCACTGGTACGCACTCGCCTGTCATCGACTCATCAAAACTATGACTCAATTTTAAACAACAAAAAGAAATTTTTAAAAACCCTGTATTCATTTGCTAGAGCTGCCATAACAAAGTACCATACCAAAGACTTGAGAGCTTAAACAATAGAACGTGAGTTCGTCACCGTTCTGGAGGCTAGAAGTCCCAGATCAAGGTGTGCCAGCGGGGTGGTTTCTTTTGAGGGCCTCTCTCCTTGGCTTGTAGATGGCCATCGTCTTCCAGTGTCTTTACACTTTTCTGTGTCCTAATTTCCCCTTTTTACAAGAACGCCAGTCATACTGGATTACAGCCCATTTTACCTTAATTCCCTCTTGAAGGTTCTATCTCCAAATAGAGTCACCTTCTAAGGTGCTGGGGGTTAGGACTTCAACACAGGAATTTGGCCCGGGTGGGAGCAGGGTAGACACGATTCAGCCCATAACAGACCCTGTTGTTCACTGGGCCTGGGAGGCGGAGTCTTTGCTAGAGACCCACATGAAAGCGTTCTGCAGCAGCATCCATCAAGTGACAATTTCAAATCTTGTCTTTTAGAATTTCATTTTCATGGGTGACTTCAATGCCGGCTGCAGCTACGTCCCCAAGAAGGCCTGGAAGAACATCCGCTTGAGGACCGACCCCAGGTTCGTTTGGCTGATCGGGGACCAAGAGGATACCACGGTGAAGAGGAGCACCAAGTGTGCATATGACAGGTAGGAGGCCCTGCAGGGTGCTGCTGGCTCAGCACAGTGCTTGGTGTGCACTAGGAAAGGCGCAAGGTGCCTGGGCACCGTGGCTCACGCCTGTAGTCCTAGCACGTTGGGAGGCCTCGGCGGGTGGATCGCTTGAGTACAGGAGTTTAAGACCAGCCTGGGAAGCATGACGAAACTCTGTCTTTACAAAAAATACAAAAATTTGCCGGGCATGGTGGCAAACACCTATAGTCTCAGCTACTCAGGAGGCTGAGATGGGAGGATCGCTTGAGCCCAGAAGGTGGAGGCTGCAGTGAGCCAGGATCGCACCACTGCACTCCAGCCTGGGTAACAGAGTGAGACTTAGTCTCAAAAATTAACAAATAAAATAAAAATAAAAAAAGCACACTGCCTTGAGAGCTGAGTCCATTAAATGTCAGCCCCTCTACTCGGTACCACATGCAGTGTATGAACCTCAGACCCTATGCGGTGCCCTGGGCATTGTAGCTCAGGCAGAGGTAAGCACCTGGCTTCGGTGTCAGACAGGCCTGGATTTAAATCCTGACGTTACCACTTCAAATGTCTGTGACCAAGAGACAGGCTCTCTGTGTCTTTCATTTCCTCCCCTGTAAAATGGAAATTATCCTAGTGCCTCACTCATGAAGATCTGATGTGGAGTCAATGAAATAGCATGTCAGGCTGCTAGCACAATGCCTGCATACGCAAGTGCTCATTACATTAATGGGCTTTCATTGTTTCCATAACAAAGACTTACCTAACAATTGATTTGCCCGAATCCCTATCATTGGCGCATTAGGTAATTATCGCAAAGGTTTGCTGTTATTAAATACTGCTAAAATCAATATCTCCCTGTACATTTTAATGGCAAGTAACTTGTGAATTTCCTCAGGAAACAACCCCCAAAATGAACCAATTAGTGCACACGGTATTCTGTCATGATTAAAGCCTTTCCAGGTATCATATTCCTAAATGCAAATGTGTACATTTAAGGTCCTAGCATTCCCTTGTGCTTTTTAAAGGTCCCTCAGGGATTTTCAACAGCTTTCAATCCTTTGCTCCTTCAATGGGCACAGAGTGGGGGAGTGCCTGAGGTGTGTGATTGTTGAGTGATCTCCCATGCACAGGACCACAGTGGGGAAACCCTAGAGTAGTCGGTCCCAGAGGTGATGGCCACAGTTCCCAGGAGCTCCGACCTGCACGAGGAAGTGTGAGATGACCATCTGGCTATGAGGGCCACCATGCCGACTCGTTTTCACTTTCTCAAGTTTCGAGTCTAGCTTTCATTTCCATCCCATGACCTCCTTTGTTCCTCTTGGAGCTTTTGAGGCTGGTGTTTCCTTTGCATAAGTTATTACTCTGCAAAGTGGAAACCCAAGGTGGGGAGTTACAGGGCACTAAGTGCCCAGACCGTCCCCGCCCCCTATTTTGAAGGACTTCCAGCAAAGCCGGGACGATGGCCACTCACTCACTCACTCGCACATGGCAGTTGTGTGCCCTTGGGTAGGTCAAGTCCCTTCTCCAGCGCCATTCTTCTCCCCTGGCAAATGAGTGGGAAGTGATTGAAAATGATACAGAAGAATCAGAAGGCAACATGGCCACGGTAGATCGGGAGGGGGTAGAACAGGTTAGAAAAAGATGTTTACTAAAAGGATCCTGATTTTATACACATGTATCCCAAAGGATGGTGGGATTACATGTGACATTTTAATGATTCATTTTCATTTTGATGCTCTGAATTTTGTTTCTCATAACCACATGTAGAACTCTTCTGGCTTTTTTTTTTTTTTTTTTTTTTGAGACAGCGTCCCACTCTGTTGCCCAGGCTGGAGTGCAGTGGCACAATTCTGGCTCACTGCAACCTCCGCCTCTTGGGTTCAAGCGATTTTCCTGCCTTAGTCTCCCAAGTAGCTGGGATTACAGGCCATATACCACCATGCCCGGCTTTTTCTTTCTTCTTTTTTTTGTTTGTACTTTTAGGTAGAGATGGGGTTTCGCCATGTTGGCCAGGCTGGTCTTGAACTCCTGACCTCAGGTGATCCACCTGCCTTGGCTCCCAAAGTGCTTGGATTACAGGTGTGAGCCACCATTGCCCGGCCTCTCGTGGCTTTTAAAAAGTCATAGGCCAGGTGCAGTGGCGTATGTTGTAATCCCAGCTACTTCTGGAGGCTAAGGCAGGAGGATCACTTGAGTCCAGGAGTTCAAGGGTTTAGAGCAATGTGATCACATGCCTGTGAATAGCCACTGCACTCCAGCCTGGGCACATAGTGAGACCTGTCTCAATACAATAAAATAAAAAGTGAAATTAAATAAAATAAACTGAGAAAATAAAAAGCCATAAAAATGATGTTTTAAAAATGGAGTTAGACAATATGGTCTCAATTCCAGTCTTTGTTCCGTGTTCACATATTTATCAAACACCTCTCAAGTGCTGAGTGCTGGGGGATCATGCAAGATGCCCAGGATCTGGCCGGTGCCCTGGACCAGCCTCGGAAACTTCACATGAACACTGGCCTGGTCCTGCACATCCCTGGAAGAAGTCAGAAATAGACGGAGCCTTAAACATCTCTTTCTTTTCTTTCTGAGTCTTAAAGAAAGCTTTCACAAATCTCTAATTTGATGTGAAGAATTTACATTTGGGTTGAATTAAAAGCCATAGCCGGGTGCAGCGGCTTACACCTGTAATCCCGCCACTTTGGGAGGTTGAGGTGGGTGGATCACCTAGGTCAGGAGTCCAAGACCAGCCTGGCCAACAAGACTAAACCCCGTCTCTACTAAAAAATACAAAAATAAAGCCAGGCATCGGATGGCACACACCTATAATCTCAGCTACTTGGGAAGCTGAGGCAAAAGAATCGCTTGAATCTGGAGGCAGAGTTTACAGTGACGCTGAGATGGCGCCACTGCACTCCAACCTGGGCAACAGAACAAGACTCTGCTTCAAAAAAAAAAAAAAAAAAGTTAGTTGGGGTGGTGATGTTGCAAATGCAGATACCAAAACTGTCGATTAGAATGGGGAAGGCCCCAGTGGGCACTGCTGAAGGAGTTGACTCCACCTTCGCCTTCCGCTCAGGGTAAATCACTTCCAGGACCACGTAGGATACAACTGCTATCACCCAGCTTGGGTCATGTTAGGTGTTCCAAAATTCATTTGACTACCTCATTCTTACTTTTTGGTCATTTACTGCAAAGCACCATATGCTGTGATTTTCGTCTATTTTTCATAAATCCCTTATTTCTTATTGAAATAAATTTTAAAGAAATTTCATGGCTGGCGCGGTGCTCACACGGTAATCCCAGCCTTTGGGCAAGGTTGGGCGGATCATGAGGGTCAGGAGATCGAGACCATCCTGCTAATATGGTGAAACCTCGGTCTCTTTCTAAAAATTACAAAATTAGCGGGTGTGTTGCGGGGCGCCTATGTCCCAGCTGACTCAGAGGCTAGGCAGGAGAATGGCTGAACACCGGGAGGCAGAGCTTGCAGTGGAGCGAGATCGTGCCACTGCACTCCCAGCCTGGGTGACAGAGGCAAGACTCGCAATCTAAAAAAAAAAAAAAAAGAAAGAAAGAAATTTGATACTAGCAAGAGTAAGAAAGCAGCAGCATTTGCCATAAATTGAAGGTAGTGTGAGAATTAAGTCCAGTGAAAGTCATGCATTGTTAAATTCTGCCTTAATTCTCTTGCCTGCAGAATGCTCAGAAATGGCAGCCTACTCTCTGTCAACATGGGACTGAGGGAGGTATTAAAGACAAACCAGCACCTCCCTGAGAATTTCTCCATAATCAAATCAGGGAAAGTGAAAATAATTGAAAAGAGAACGGCGTTCTCAGTACACAAGTCATTGTTGTGTGGGATAGTGTGCATGTGTCATATAAAACCTCCTACTCCACCAGGGACATTGCCCACACTGGGAGATAGTGTCCTGGTGTCCACAGAACCATGGCAGGGACTGATCCTATTTCACAGTTGTAGGCACTGTCCTTTAGGGTCACAGGCTAAAACCAGGTCTGGACTTTGAGTGCCACATGAAAGGGCCAGGCTGCTCAGTCAATTCCAAACAGCAAACACAGACTTTGGTTTGATCTCAGCAATCACAGGTTGGATTAACACAACTGTTTTTCCTCCCCTTGTTCCAGGATTGTGCTTAGAGGACAAGAAATCGTCAGTTCTGTTGTTCCCAAGTCAAACAGTGTTTTTGACTTCCAGAAAGCTTACAAGCTGACTGAAGAGGAGGTAAGGCTGCCATCTTGTCTTTCTATGCCATTGTCCTAGAAAGATGAGTTAGCCTGGGCAACATGACGAGACCCCATCTCTACAAAAAATTCAAAAAAATTAGCTGGGCATGGTGGTGCATGCCTGTGGTCCCAGGCTGAGGTGGGAGGATCACCTGAGTCCAGGAAGCAGAGGTTGCAGTGAGCTGAGATCACACCACTGCACTCCAGGCTGGGCAACAGAGTGAGATCCTGTCTCAAAAAAAAAAAAAAAGAAGAAGAAAAAGATGGGTTGATGTCACCCTTTGAGGTCACTGCTGAAGACGGAAGACACAATATTGGGCACTAGACCTTGAGTTTCAATGCCTATGATTTTGTGATTTGAGGCCCTGCCAAAATTTCTCGATCCAGCTGGTCTTGGAATAACACTTACCAGTGTGTGCTCTGTGGGGTGACTTTGGGCATTTCATCTCCCCTTCCTGGTCCTGAATTTGCTCATCGCTAAAATGAAAGCATCTCCCAGGCATCTCCTGATTTCCATATCTACCTCCCCTTTCTCCTTACAGGCCCTGGATGTCAGCGACCACTTTCCAGTTGAATTTAAACTACAGTCTTCAAGGGCCTTCACCAACAGCAAAAAATCTGTCACTGTAAGGAAGAAAACAAAGAGCAAACGCTCCTAGATCCAAGGGTGTCATCTTATTAACCATTTCTTGCCTCTAAATAAAATGTCTCTAACAGATACATGAACTGCTCCCTGCACTTAGAAAACAAGACTGATCCAACTGCTTTCATTTTTTGACCTGAATTTATTCTGACTTGAGCCAAATTGGAAGGAGAATCTTTTATATCTCTTTTGGCCTCATACCTCCCCTGAATTGTCCAAAAGGGAACCAGGGGCATTTGCAGCCCAAAATGATGGTCTTCATGCCCTGAGCCAGATCCCCATCCTCTGTCACTGGGCCTGCTCAGCCCTGTCATGCGAGAGGCCGCAGGGGGAGGAAGAGCGTCGGCTTTCAGTTCTCCTGAGGGGTCCTGTTCCACGGGCAATGACCAGAAACACCAAGGCCCCAGCTGCCCCTGTGATTTGGGCAATTAACTGTTTTAAGAATCTGCCCCCTCCTGTGTGAGGTCAGGCCACCATCACGTCTCACAGGGTGAAGGATAAAGGCCACTCCTGCCTGGTTTCTCTGCTTTCGAATTGTCCTCCTCCAACTCAGTCAGCCCAGGAAGCACCAGTGTCATCCTCTGAAATACTAATCTGACCACAGCCCACCCTCAGTCCCACCCCCAGTCCCACCCCGTGCCCATAAATCCTTCAGTGGCTCCCATCACCATCGGAGAGAGCTCAGTCTTGGCCACCATGAAGGTCTCTGTTATCTGGTATATTGTGCCAGCCCCCACCTTCTGCCAGGGTCGCACCCTGAACCCCTGCTCCAGGAGGATGTCCTCCGCCCTGCACCCCCATGCTGTCCCTCCCTGGGGGCCTTGGCTCTGCCCTCACATGCCCTGCCCTATCCCAGAGCCCGGGTCAAGTGCCCCCAACCCCCATGTACGCCCTACCTCTACTGCAACACCCACCACATTGTATTTGTCACCAGGGCCAGTGTTGGGGGTCTTTGGGGCCCCAGTGTGACAAACACCTAGTGAACTGGCTGGGACTCAAGGATTTTGTTATCTTTCTGCAATCAAGGAGGTTCATTGGAGTCCAACAACACAACACCATTTAGCCTGTATGCCTATTTTTGTTTGTTTTGCTTTGTTTTCCCTGATGTTTCTTTGTTCAAGTCATACATGAACATGGCTAAATATGCAGGCAGTACCGAAGAATAAGCAGGGAAAAGGAATGCCGCGCCCTGACCCCATCCCCGAGTTTCCTGTCTCAGAAACAGCCCCTCTTCCCCGCTCATGTGTTTTTCCAGAGAGACTGCACAGAAATGAGCACCATATGTAACCTTAAAAATACAAAATACAGCACACCATATGCACGGTTCCACTCCTCGCTTTTTCCCTTTCATATATTGGGGATGATGTGACTTTTGATGTAGGAGAAAAAGACCTTAAGTCTGACGCTTGAAATTATGTAACATCTGACTGGGGAAATACAATCAAGAGGGCCCTGATTAAGCAGGGGATGCCATCTTCCTCAAATGTCCAATTAACCTCATTGGACAAAGGTCTCACGAATTGGTGAGAGGGAGGAATGGCAAGGCTACTAACACATCTGTCACCCTTCTCCTAAGCCAGGGCTCACTGTTTCAGGAAACTTGCCGGTTTCCAAGGTCCAAAATGGTCAAACAAGTTCAGGCATGGTGGCTCATGACTGTAATCCTAGCACTTTGGGAGGCCAAGGTGGGCCGATTGCCTGAGCTCAGGAGTTCGAGACCAACCTGGCCAACATGGCGAAACTCCGTCTCTACTAAAAATATAAAAAATTAGCCAGGCGTGGTGGGTACACTCCTGTAGCCAGCTACTGGGAGGCTAAGGCACAACAATCGCTTGAACCCGGGAGGTAGAGGTTGCAGTGAGCTGAGATCGTGCCACTGCACTCCAGCCTGGGCGACAGAGTGAGACTCTGTCAAAGAAAAAAAAAAAAAAAGGTCAAGCAAGTCATAAATTGGCTTATTCCGGAGGGAGAGGCTCATCCTTCTGTCCCATAGAGCCATCGTCTCTGCCGCCTACCAGCTGTGGGACCTCGAGCAGGCTACTTACCTTTAGTTTCCTTATGTGTAAAATACAGATAATAAGAGAATCAACCTCATAGGTAAAGTTTTAATAAGGTGATGGGTGTAAACCATGGAGGATGTGCCTGACGCCTAGTAAGCCCTCGATAAATTAAATTCCCTTACTTCTGTCCCAAAGTACTGCAAGCTCTGACAGCCCACATGGCTGGGACAAGAACCCTGGCTGCTGGAGCTTGGGACTCCATGCTGGCTGGGGGAGGAATGGGAGGGAGGACCAGACACTAAATGAGTCTGTCCATGGCTCTGACTTGGTCCTGACACCCTGCAGCTTCCTCCCAACGAGACATCCCTCCACTCCTGTCCAGGAGCAGATTACTGGAGCCACAGGCATCTGCCAGCTCTGATTCCGGCCAAGTTCTGCCAGGCAAGAGGGCGCAGAGCAGGGCATGTCTCACCACACATAACCTCATGGAGCTGCAAACATCCTCCTGTCCCTTGGGTCACCTGGCCTGGGCAAGGAACTCTGGTGGCCTTTTGGGGAAAAGGAATGTCTCCTGGTCATAGGCACCCTTTTAGCCTTGGCTTTATCCAAAAAGTCTAAAGCTTGGTTGGGTGTGGTGGCTGACGCCTGTAATCCTAGCATTTTGGGAGGGGAGGCTGAGGTGGGAGGATCACTTGAACCCGGGAGTTTGAGACCAGCCTGGGTAACATGGCAAGACCCCATCTGAACAAAAAATTAAAAAAATTAGCTGTGCATGGTGGTGCATGCCTTTAGTCCCAGCTACTCAGAAGGCTGAGGCAGGAGAATCACTTGAGCCTGGAAAGTTGAGGCTGCAGTGAGCTGTGATCGTACCACTGCACTCCAGCTTGGGAAACAGAGCAAGACCTTTTGTCAAAAACAAAACAAAACAAACAAAACAAAAAACAAACGAACAAAACAGAGTCTAAACCTTGATATGCACTGGAATCCCAGGGAACCAGTTACCATGGCAATTCCCAGGTCCCAGTCTCCCAGAGTCTGTCTAAAGGATCTACGGCCAGGGCGCAGGAACCTGCAATTTCAACAAGTCCCCCAGCTGATTCCAAGGCACATGATCTGAGGCCCAGATTTGAAATCACTCTCCTAGTCCCCCTTGGTGAGGAGAGGTGTAGCATGGTAGCAAGGACCAGGCTCACTTTGGAGCCATAGTCTCTGCCGCCTACCAGCTGTGGGACCTCGAGCAGGCTACTTACCTTTAGTTTCCTTATGTGTAAAATACAGATAATAAGAGAATCAACCTCATAGGTAAAGTTTTAATAAGGTGATGGGTGTAAACCATGGAGGATGTGCCTGATGCCTAGTAAGCCCTCGATTAATTAAATTCCCTTACTTGTATATTTGCATTAACAGGGCTTGCTGTGTTAAAGGGTAGGCTGCTTTACGTCTAGGTGTACATGTTGCTCAAGCTTAGTTATTCAGAATGAATTTTTGCCACACAAGGCATCATGCCAGGGTTCCGTTTCTTTGTCATTCGCCACTGCAAATATTTTGGCAAGTAAGCCTGAGGATGGAGACGCCTCTGCTTCCAGTCTTTGTGACATCCTCTTCCTTGTCAACACCACTTTCCTGCCACAAATACAGAAACCCTCCCCCGGTGACCTTCACCCTGACCCTGCTGGGAGTGGGGTGGGTGAAGGGAGCTCCTGCAATTCAGCAACCCTGCTCCTCTCTTTTGGGCTAGAGAGGGCAAATGTAAAGAGTAGTTGCCAAACCAGGAAAGGGTGACAAACTGGGGGCCACATCCCTCGCCCCTCCTGGAAAGGGGAAAGGCACCCAGGCAGGCGTGAGGGTGGAAAGCAGGGCCGCTGAGAGAGGTTCACATCTGCATCAGCTGCTCAGTCTCCTGATCAGGGCGGGCTTCCACCTGAATGATCCTGAAGGAGCCAGCAACCCCTTGTCACTTGGGTCATATTTCAAAGGAGGAGCAGGTCCCCACAGTCCCCAAGACCCTGGCAACAGTAGTGTCAATCTTTGGGATTCAGGGAAGCTACTGAGATTAAGTCAAAATAAGGGAATTTGAGGAAACAGGAATCTATGGATGCAGGTTTGTGCGTGTGTACATGCACACACACACACACACACACACTCACACACTCAGCTCTTTCCCAAGGGTCTCCCTGCCTGGCACATATTCCTTGGCCTGCTCAGCTTCTGGCCGGGTGGCACCAGTCCATGTCCCTGCCTCAAATGTGCCCTCTGATGGCAGGTGGGAGGAGGCTGGTCATTTGCAGAAACTCCTTCTGCTGCCCGTGTATGCTCTAGGAAACTCTACCACCAAATACCCTGGGAGTTTTATTTTTCCGAGTTATCGTTACTTTGAGATTCCCGCTCCTGAGATCTTTTCACAGTTTCATAGAGGCTAGAGCTGAAAATATCCTTAAAGGTAATGATAAGTAATGGCTGCCATTTGCCAAGGGCTGCTCTGTGCCAGGCTGTGTGCTAAGAGGCTGTCGCATGGGCCATCTCACTGAATTCCAACCACAGCACTGAGGTGGAGTCTGATGTCATCTCCATTTTATAGACGAGGAGAGTGAGGCCCAGAGAAGTTAAACAACTTGCCCAAGGTCACACAGCTGGGAAGTAGTGACCAGCTGGGAAGGGTGACTCATCCATTAGGCACAGCAGGCACCGTGCCTAGGGCCCATGGAAATGTGTTAATTTCCTTCAGAATCAGAAAGAAAAACATGAACTTTGGGGATGAAGAAAAAATTAACATAGTAATAATAACATGTTTGTCTTCATACCAATGTAGTTGTAAAACATAATTTTTAATATTTTTTATGGGGGAAAGGATCTATAAAGGCAAAGGTGCCTAACGCCCATGAAAGTCACAATGGAGCCCGGGTGGAGGCAGAATTAAAATCCCAGTCTGTCTGCCTTCAAAGTTCGTGTTCTTTTCAGTCTAGTGTAATCCCGTTTACAGGTGAGGAAACTGAGGTCCAAGGCCACACAGCAAATGGCAGAGCCAGGTAAAGAGCCCAGGTTTCCAGTGAGCCAACCACCATGGCGTGTGGTCCGAC